AACTCCTAGTAGACCTTGAGTCTGTAGAGAGTTGTACCTTTTTTTGAGGGCTTTTTTTTTTTTTTTGCACCATACAGATGTTCTGTAAATGCAGGGAGAGATCAAAACCTTGAGTTATGAGAGATGGTCCTGAAAAACAATTTTTCATCTGACTTTTTAATAAAGCACTGTCTGAACGGTCAGAGGAAAAGTAATCGGAAACATTTGTGTAAATGAATAAGATGACTTTGCTTTGATGTATTCATAAGAGCCTTGTTAGCTTTCTGAAAACACAGCTGAAAATGAAATGTTTCTTCAATAATGTTAGCGGAATGGGAAAATGTAAGTGGGAAAATGTGTTGTATCTTAATCCTTTTGGGGCAGGCACAATTGTGTCACTGCATGTGCTTGTTCTGAGTTTGTTTTGTGAAATAAAGACACACTTAGCAGGTATCAAACCACTGATGAACAACTGTGGTGGTCTTGACTCCGCAAGTTGTGGACCACCCACACTGTCATATTGACTCAGAATTGGACTCAAGCCTGAAGTCTGAATGTCTTTTGGTTCCATACTGGTTTTCATGATGGCTTCCGTATAGCTTCTTGCAGGCAGGAAGTATTTCTAGATTGATTTGAAGCAGCCCTGTGCCATTGCAGGTAGGATGCACATATGTTGTTTTAGGCCTCCTAGCTCTGTAAGCTTGAAATGAGGTCAGCAGAAAGCTGTTGGACAGGCTGGGCACGATCCACTCACCTTCTGCTCAATGGGCACAGAGCACCTACCTGTTCTGTCCAGGTATGCAGCAGTGACAGAACAATCTCTGCAAATGTAATGATGGGAGGTGGCTGGAGGATGTGGGAACAGTCTGTCGGATGATACTAAGAGCTGGCAGACTCCTGAGAGTCCCTTCCTGGCCAACTCTTGGTATGGTAACTCAACTCCTCTCCAGTCACCCTATCTCCTTTGGCTCTTAAACTCCATGGAAATGGATTATTCACTTAAAAGCCTCAAGCCTAGAGCACTCAAGTTCATCTTTCTTTATCAAATCCTTCATTCCCATCGTGTCCTGCATCCATGCTGTTACCTTAGAACAGAAAGAATTAATTTCCAGTGAGAAGCATCTCATCGCTGGTAGGATGAACTCCCTTGTCAAAATGTGCAGTAGGTGTAATGCATAAGTGAACAGAATTTGTTCAAACACACAACCATTGACATCAGAATTTCTCAGGCACTGCAGTTAATAAAAATGTTGTTTTCTAATTAATCATTTTGGTGTGACTTTGTGCTAGGTAGCTTTGAACAGATTTGCAAAGTCACTTCCAAAGATTTCTAATAATCTGGGAGTGGGGAAAAATCTTTTGTTATCTTTACTATATTGTGTCTGATATCAAAGCTATCTAGAAATGAGGAGATGGCATTTTTATTATATCTAAGGAATGAAGTTTTAATCTGTTGTTGATTCACTTGGGTTCAGAGCAATCAAGCTACCTATGACTCTAGAACTAAACTTAGACCAAGAAAAAAAAAACAAAAAACAAAAAAAACACAACTAATGGAAATCTTGATTATAGGTTTTGTGCATTTTCGTGTGTCTGATGTAGTGAGGAAACAAATTCCCCTACTCTGACTTTTTAACCCACATACAAAGAGGATGGTGGTGTCCCAGCAGTAGAATGTAACTGAATGCGTGAGAAAGAAGAAGCTGATAATGGAAGAATTCGATCATGGAGAGTTGATGAAAGAAGAAATAATGGCGTGCCCTCTACGAGTTATTACTGGTAGTTTCCATAAAAGTTGAGCAAATGAAGTCTGAGGCTCAATTAAACCACATCTTGTCTTTCTTCTTCTGTGCCCAGGACAATACATTGTTTGCTGTGAATAGACCACCCGAGGGCTGGTCATGTGTTTTGGTAGAAATCATAGTTTCGTCAAACAAAGCAAAAGACATAATTATAGACTTTTTATATAAAAAAACTATTTTAATTATTATTGTGCATTTCTAATTAGAAATGTGCTAAACAGTTGCCGTTAAAAGTTTAGAAGCATGAAAACGGCAAAACACCAGAGAACTTGTTCTTTAAAAATCAATCCTGATTTGGCTCAATAGGAACAGATCAGCAGGAATTCCTTCCATTTTGGGGGGAAGCTGGGAGTAGTGGGCAAGATGTTTTTTTTCTTATTTTGCGGAATGAGGAAAATTCTAAACACCACCACCTTTGTTCCAGCAGTTATGGTCACTCTGAAAAGGTGACTTTTGAAGCTGTTCTTAGTTATAGTATGAAATATCTGGTACCCAGCCATTAACATGATTGCATTCTGAGAAGTGTATTCCTTGATTATATAAAATCTTGTTGACAATGCAAAGTACTTGTGAAATATAACAGATTGTTATAGATTGAAAGAAGATATATCCTAATTCTTGTGGAGTTGATGGGATTCTAGACAAGGGCAGGAACAGGACTACAGATTGCTCTGTAGTACAAGATTCATCGCCATTTTGTTTTCTCATTATGGTGTGCGTGCACAGGTATTGTTGTTTTCAATACCTGTCAGCTGTTGTTTTCACACTGGATGTGATTGTACTGAAAGGTTTCATTTTAGATGCTCTGAGGAAAACTTAATTTTTGTGTTAGTTACTTTAAAGCCTTCTCCCATGTGGGCTACAGGGTGGACTATGGAGACTCATCTCTGCTCCCAAGTGCTTTGTAACACCTCTGGTGTAATCCATGCTTACTGAGTGGCTACTCCATGTGTTGCTGTCTTATATCCTGCGGTCATCTTTGCTGTTAGACATTTGTGGAGACTAGAGTAATGGTTTAAACCACAACCTGGATGTTCCCAACGTTCCTTGGCTGGTATGCTAATCAATATGAGCTGGCTACAACTTCTGGTGAAAGGAGTCTTGCACCTGTGCAGCTCTGCTGACAACAGGAGATACAGCCCTTCTTAGCCTCATGATCTCTGGTTTCTCTAAGAGTAAAATACTTTCTGTATCGATTTGCTACAAAATAGGAACTAATTATGTATGAATTAGAAGGGACTGAGCATTGCATGCTGTTAGCATGAAAATTCTTTTCATTTAAAGCGATGAAGTTTTTCTCAGATGATGATCTCTGTGCTTACCAAGCATGCGGACTGACACTGCATCTCTTTAATGCAACAATCACTTTTAAGGAAGTATATATATAACTAAGTCCTGTGTTATTTCTGGCTCCTTCTGGATTATTTCCTTTCAAACTACTTAAAAAAAAAAAAAAAAAAAAAATTATAGCATCTAAAGCCACGGGCATGGGTGAGTAACCCAACATGATAAGGGCAATACACAAAGCGACTACTAAGTTGTAAGGGAAATGCAAAGTCATGGTTTGGACCAGTGATTGAGCACTTGGTGGGCAGGCAGGGCCAACCCAGGGGAGCTCAGGTGCAAGCATCTGAGTGACCAGAAGGGCTGGAGTCAGGATCCACCTTTTCCCAGACCTCATTTAAGAGTTGGCAGTGGGGGTGAGGGAATTTTGCTGGAGATCCCTGCATACCTAAGGCCTTTCAAGGGTAAGTAGCTTTTTCCTTTGCTTCACAGCACATTCAACTGCTGTGTTTGGGCTTGTTCTCATTTGATGTAGTCTGAGATTGTGCTACTCTGTTATTATTGCTGTATTTTACACCATGTTATAGCATTATTGTATTACACAAGCATTTACAGTCCAAATGCTGGAAAAGAAGACAAATGTGAATAAATGTGGAAATGGAGTTGGACTCAGTGATCCTTGTGGGTCTTTTCTAACTTGGGATATTCTGTTCTACTTTAAGAAGCAAGAAAAGAATATGACAAGTCTTGTCACGATAGGCGTGGCATATCAACAGTACAGTCTGGGACAAGATTTTTAACATGCATTACAGCAATGTAAGTTTTAGTAATACACTCTTTCTCTTGCGTCTCTTCTCTGGATCATATTTAACGTGTACTAGGCTAGCTCATCTCCAGTGTGATGTGGTATATGTTTTGTGTCTGACTAGTTGAAAAGAACATGGACTTTTAGAGAAAGAAACACAGGACTACTCTTGCACTTCATTTTCCAAATATCTGGATCAAACAGGACCTGTACATCTTAAGCAGATCGGTTTATCAGAGAGGAATTACGAGTGAGCTGATTGCAGCAACGTATCACAATAAATCCTCTGGGTGGTACCTGCTGCCACAAACACTGCTGGACTTCATCTCCTCTCTGGTGGATTGTAGGGTTACAGCAATGCAGTACTACGCCAGACACCTTTAGCTGCAAGCTTATGAAAAGGTCCCTGTAATAATGACTGTCTAGAGCACCTGTGGAGTGTTCTGTATTGGCAGGTGCTGGCAGTGCACTGTAGCAGAAAGAGGAAGCTGTTTCCATGGTACATCTCCCCTGATTTGGGAACCTGGGGGGAAGAGCACCCAGGTCTGAACGTCCTTCTCTGCATATAAGCTGCCACGAGTAGATGTTTTGCAGTGGAAGTATGCTTTGGCACTGAACAGCAGCTTGATACACACATCGTAACATATGATTGGGGCTATATATAATGGCTGGCGTTTTGTAACCCCAGTGACTCACTGTTTCTTTCTTAAGGAAAGAAAGCCACTGGAGCCACCTCCTGTGCTGCCTGAAAGGCACACCTTTGCAGGTCCCACCTGCTGCTCCTCACTTAGCACTTGATAAGATCTCCCCTCTTGCTTCTCTCTCCAGGAGCCAGAAGCCAAGAAGCATCCTTCTCTCACTGCTGGTCTCTCGTGCCAGTGGATGGACATTGCAGGAGGTTTTCATCATGTTGCTTATCAGCAACTTCGTAACACAAGTATTTTCTAGCTGTCAAACCCTCAGGGAGAAATTACCTGTAATTAGCTTGTTCTGTGTAGCTTATCCAGATATGCTCAGCAGTGCTATTGCATTTATTTCCTGAGTAGCAGTAATTATTGAAGAGAAAAATAATAATAAAAAAACCCTCTTGGACCACTTATCTATACCTGTTCCCCTTCTCCTCAGGTGTGGGTTGGTGTTGAACAGCTTTCTATACCGAGTAGCATGTCAGACCCAGTTCTGAGAACAGTGCACCCCATGGAGAAGCTGGAGACTGCAGAGGTATCTGGTGCAGACAGTCTTGCCCTGGCACCTGCCACCATGCCAGCAGCCGACTCACTGTGGGGACTGGAACGTCACTGTCACTATAGAGACAGCTGCGAGGATTCGGTTTCAAAAGGTGAAGAGAAGCTGGGAATTGGAAAGGTAAGGCTGGGTCTGTCTTTCAACTGTTGAGAAGGGTTTTAAAATGATGCTAAGGTTTTTTAAATGGTTTGAAAGGATGTCGCAGTGATGGGTGCTCTGTTATATATTTGTGCTTGTGTGTATATATGTGCAGGTAAATATACTATGTGCATGTTTATGCGATCTGTTTTGAATAGATTGTGTACGTAGAAAATGAAGTATTTTTAAAGAACTTTCTGCTGGTGTTCTGCTGGCAATCCTCCAATTAATTTTTTGTTTACAGATGGCGTGAAGCAAGACTTGAGTTCTATTTAAATTTAATTTTAAGAAGTCGTAAAATACACACGGCTTAAAGATTTTATCTATTTTGCACAGAAGCTGAATGAGCTGCATGCATTGTAAATTAACGTTGTTCACTTCTGCCCCTCTTCCTGATCCTCTGCTGTACTTTAGCAATGATATGCATGTAAAGCAATGGTTAGTGTTGACAGGCAAGATAAGGATCAGCTATGAGTCATTGTTTAACCACACAGGATTTTAAAGCCTTGGTATACACTGGTCCACAACAGCTTGCAGATAATCCCTCTCTGCCCGCTCTTATATCAGCAGGAAAAGCTGCCCCTTTTGATGACTTACCACGTTCCTTACAGATGTAACTCATTTTCACTGAGGCGTGGACTTGTTTAAACGTTCAGCTTGCACTTTTATAGACCCCAGCAAGGTGCTGATGCCAAATGGATGTCTTTTGTACTGTGACAGCCAAAGATAACTGCATAGGTATGGCTCTGAGGGAAGGGGGAAGAGGCAGGGAGGAGCTTATTGCAGAGCAACAGATGAATTATTAATGAGCAGCGATACACAAGCATTACTGCAGGAAGGTATTAGAAGGCATCCAGAGGCTGATACAAGGCCTTGTCTGAGGTGCTCAGTGCTGTAAGGCAGCAGAGGCTGTGTGCATCTCTGATCTCAGGCCAGGGATGATCAGTAGAGCCCTTGAGCTCTTCTCTCTGCCCAGTCTGCTGCAGATCCAGAGGGGAGTAGTCAGGGCACAGTGGGTTTTCTATCATGACATACTCCTTGCTTTGACAGCTGGAGGAAGTCTGGCATGGGAGCTGAATCTATTGGCTTCATGTCAGCTCCGGGGTATCTTAGTCGCTTTGGGAATTCCCCGCCGGGGAAGCACCACTGCTGTTGGAAGCAGGGATTGGAACTCGGCCCCTGGGGCTGTCCACTTCAGCAGAGGGTTTTGGCAAGGATGTATGTCTCCTTTTTCTTTTTTAAAAAAAAATTCTCTATTTCTAGGTCTTCGATTTTTATGAATAACTAAATGACAAGTAAAGCTTCAGGATTTACCCTATGGCTGAGTTTCCCGTGGGGGTGTTTGCATGTGTATGTAATGCTACTTGTATTTATAATTCCTGCTGCTGTCGTCACCCACACGTCTGCAAGCGCAGAACAAAAGGCAACTAGCTCCCTTCGCAGTAAGCTGATGGCCCCACTGCTGTGTGGAGGGTGTAGAGAGCACAGAGAGAGCCTGGGGGGCCCAAGGAAACCCTGAGATAACATTGGTTGGACTGCCAAAGTCAGGCTTCTACAAATCACCATAATACGTGCGTGCTTTTTACTAACAAAAGAGACAACTGGGTTTGTGAAGAACTGAATTCGCTATTTACATGCAGCTGGGCTTTGCATTTTTAGGGGGGTGTTATTGTTGGGACATGCAGCTAGCTGTCTGACTTCTGTAACAAACTGCATTTATAACTGGTTTATCTGATGACTGCTGCAGGATCTTGCCTACCCACATTTTAGTCACTCACCTTGACTTCTGTTTCAGGAACTTTCTGACCAAATTGATCAAATCAGTGCTGGTGAACTTTCAGGTTTGACTCACTTTCTGAGATCAGGCAATGTCTCAGTTATGGCACATCTTCATTAATCATTTCATCATGATTTTTAGGCAGACTAGAAACTGTAATTATGTTAGACCCAGAGTTCTTCCAGTTCAGATCTGTCTCTTATTGTGGTGATTTCCAGCTGATTCAGAATAAAGGAAAACCTACATTAAGTAGAAATCTCTCACTCTTTCTAAGCTCTGATAGAATCACTGTTTCAATATTTCTTTTTTTAAAAAATAATTTTATTAATTAACACTTATACCTTTGGATTTGTTGGATCTAACTGCCTCTTGCATTATGAGACAAGCAAACACAGGTCTGGCTGATGGGCAATCCTAAGTTTTCAAGCATTTTGCATACTTGTGTGTTGGTTTCAGGAGGAGTTGGGTACTAACATTACTAAGGGTCTGTTTTGAAAGAATTTACTGATGCAGAAGCCACTTCTGAGGGACAGGATCAGAAAAAGGGGAAAGAAGGCTGTGCTCGCTGTCCAGCCTAGGGCTTGATCCTTCTGGTACATTCAGTTTTAATTCTTTATTACCTTTTGCTCTTGATGCTCACACTTACTATCTGCTCTGGCCACAGAATATAGGCGCTTAGTCTTCTGAGGGAAGGATGGCAATCCACACCTATTCTGTCTGGAAATTACACTGTGGCAAGATTTGTCTTCCTCTATGCTGCAGGCATATTTATTTGCACCAAATTTATTTCATAGTTCACCAGATGGTACAAGAAGTAGAGCAACTTCAGCTATATATATTTTTTTCTATTGTTGCACTTCTATATATTCTTTGTGAGATTTCCTAGGGTTTTCTTTGACTCAGGCTGTTAAGGTAGGCCACAGTTATTTTTGTGTTCCTTTGAGGATAAGGGAGAACCAACTGTAATCATGCTGTAGTGGTTGTTGGTTAACAATTTATGTAGGAAAGATGGGCATTTCACAATGTGAGACAGATGCTGGACATCATTTCAGAATTATGAAGCTAGAGCTGTAGCTCCCTTCTTTGCCCAATGGTAGATACCTCTTTTATTTCTACACTCTTCCATTTGCTAGAGTATGTGCTTGGATTTTTCCAGTTTTCTGGATTCATTTTTTTGACTTTCAAGATATCCTCAAGAAATCCACAGAGTTTACTTTCACCTGTATTTATTTTATAGGAGAGTGAATGAGACAAAAAAAACCCCACACTATCTTGAATGCCCAGTGTTGCAATGAACGTATGCATTACCTTTTTGCATAAATCAGTTGATTTTTGGGGAGGGTTTGAGAGAGCATGGAAACCCTGTGGTGCTGTTGATCGTTCTCTCAGATTGGGCCCCACATCAGTGAGCCAAAATTTGCAGGTAGTCCAGCCAGGATTTTTCTGCATCGTAAAGGGAATGATGAGGAGCTTTAAGCTCTGAGAAGATGACTCAGTGCTACTGGTGTTGAGTTAAACCTATCACTGTACCCATTGCAGAGGCACGCAGTCCACACCCAACTTCATCCTCTGCCTACACACAAATGTGTCATCTATCTGTGCATGACTGAAGCACTCATATCAGAAACATTTACCTGCCAAAGCTGCGAGAATTGTCATAATTAATTGTCTCCTTCCATCTTCTCTAGTATTACTATTCTCACTGATCATCGTGTCCCATCTTTGGATCTTCAGATGGATCCTATTATGCATGTAGGCCTATCTGGGAGAACTGTATATACAAAGCCAGTAGTGAATCATGTCAGCCTAAGGAGAACTAGTTGAAACAACATTTCAAATACAAATGGATCTTTTTGTTTGTTTTGGATAAACTTAGCGTTGCTTGATGCCGAGTATTCCATTCAAAGTTTAATTTGGATTAGTGCAATTAATCAGTGTGTGCTTTTTCATGAGTAGCAGAATTTTTAAAAGTAGCCTTAATTTTTATCCAATTTATACAATTCAAATTAGTATCGATTAAATTATATGAAGTGCAGAACTATGGAATTCATTCACTTTCCCCATACTGTGTAAGAGAGCCTGTAATTTCATTCAACTACTAGGAAAAATAATGTTCCAATGTAGAAGTACATGAACACATTTATTTTATGGTTTTATATTAAACTTTCTGACATATCAGAAAGTGGCCCTCTAGGGCCAAGACTGGGATTTGTGTGCATGTGTATCTCTGAGATTAGGAACTCTAAGAAAGTTTCCCTGTTGTTTTCTCAGTTCTTCTGTGCAAATGTAAAGCCTCAAGCCATCTTTCAGAGCACACGAGATCATGAGTTTCCTTAGGCAAAGTGTAATCGAACTTTGTCTCAAAACAAAGGTGAAAGCTAAGGCACTGCTCTTGAAGTAGGGGGTTTCTGAAACATCCTCAACAGAAGAAGGAAGAGACATGATCTCCTGACTAGGACAAGCTGCTCTGGGTGCTGCTGACAAACCAATTGCTTCCTAATGCTAAAAAGTCTGAAGGTGGTGGAAAGATTTCTCTGGCAGAGATGGGGAAAGAAGGGAATAGAAGCAGAGGGTAAATAAATTTCTGTATTCACTTTTCTCCACCACAGGACTAGGTATGGTAGAAAACTAAAAAAAAATATTTTAAAGCAGCTATTATGAAACATCCCTTGGTTGCCACAGCACCATGGGAGCTGTGCAGGTCTAGGAGAAAAGTACGGAACCCCAAACTCTGTGAACTGAAACCAGAAGATTCACAGAGTCCTACTTCTGAATCTAGTCATGCTTGAGTCACATCCTGCCTTACCTGACACTGTACACATGATTCAGAGAAAACGACGTGAAGCTACTCCTCTATGGTAATTGAAATGAGAAGGACATTTGCTGGCATGCATTTCTCAGCATGTGGCACAGCAAAATACTTTTTTTGCAGACCTGTCAGCAAAGGCTGGCAGAACAAAGGAGGGCCAGGAATTAATCTAGGATAATGGACAAGAGGTGGCAGGAGGAGCTGAGAAGATTTGAGTCTTGTGGTGATTTTTACTGCAAAGCCAGGAGCACAAGTTTGACTTGTTCTCAAATAAGTCTGAATTATTTGTCTAATATTTAAGAAGCAACATACAGTGTTAGTGGCAGCAATACAATTGGTCATTTTTACTTTGTTTTTATTAACTTTTAAATACAGAAATGCATAAATATAGCTTTG